CTTGTGATTTTCAAAAAGTCTGGTTTGTAGTTCTAACGATTACTTTCAGATTCAGAGAACAAGAAATGGCGAACTATTATGAGTGGGCATATCTGACTCGATGAAACTTAAGGGATAAGATTTTTATTTTTTGTTCCGAATGGGAAAAATAGAAAAGGCGGTCTTTAAGGGATAAGAATCAATTTGGGCGCATGTTTTCAAATGTCCTAACATCACACCTTGTTAGTTATGCTGCTGGTCACATGCTTCTTTAGGTGCTTTTTCAGGAATTATGGAGCGCCAAACACCGATTTTCTCTCGCCACAAATGACGTATATAAGGAAATTGAAAGTGTCATTCTCATTCACCGCTTTCAAAGAACTTCTCCATCCAAAATAAGAAAACCCTTCTCTCTCACTATTGTTCATCGTCTTCTTCGTCGATTTTAATCGCTGCTTCGTCAGAAACTCCATCTGCCGCTGATCAGACCACTACATTAGGGCTATTGGGGATCAAGGATAGTCAGAATATCATCTTGGACCTCGATCCATCCATGTATGTCACTTTTCTCCAACCACTGATTGAATTCCTGAGACACTCCCCTTTGGCTACTACACTATCAAAGAAAGAGAATGTTCCTTTGGCTCTTCAAGTCAAAGCTTTCTCTATTGCTCGTTATGAAGAGAATAGTACTACTATTATTTTCGTGCTTGGTAATCAACAAACATCCATCACTAAGTCCATATTTAGTCTATTATTTTGGCTTTCATCAGCTAGGGATTTGATCGATCCAGAGTCCATCTCCTCTTCTTTTATTTTCGATTATTCCAGCAAATGGATTACAAAGATCATCTTATGATTCTATCCAAGTTCAAGAAGCCCAAACTTCTTCCCATGTGGAATGGGCTATTTACCTTAATTTTCAAGAGTTTCTTAGAAAGGGTAACGGGTTCTAATAACTCAAGTAAACTTTTTCTTACTATTCTTTGTGGTGTTTACTCTGGGATCAATCTGGACCACAGTTCAGTCCTTTGGGCTCAACTAGTTCATAGTACTTTATCTGTTACAAGGCACACAGAAATATCTTGTGCTCGTTTTTGGTCCATAATTGTTCATAGGGCTATTGATCGTCACAACATCCCGGTGATCGAGGGTTCGAAGATTGCAACAATTCCCATTTTTCACACTTCAAATGTTATAGTGTCTGACAGTTCAAGATTTTCCTTTATCGGATCTATTCCAGAAACGATGCTTCGTAATGTTCCAACAGATACTGAATTTATCACTGAATATCACAGGTAACCAGCATACGGTCCTCGTCCATTAACTGATGAGATGTGAAAGCCTTTAGAAGAGGTTGACAAGCCAGAGAAAGTGGGGAAAGTCAAAGCGAAGGTCGGACCCTCCGAGCCCGCTCAAACTCTAAAGAAGAAAAAGCGAGCCACTCACAAGCCAAGGACACCTTCACTAAGTAATAAGGAGGATTCAGAGTGACACACCATCTCTAACATTCGTATACCAGAGCAAGAGCAGCACAAGACTGAAGATACTGCTGTGTCTTCGCAACCCATGGTTTCAGAGCCTTCAATAACTAATCTTGAGGTAACTTTTTCTATGCCAACTTCTATTCCCATAACAAATGACTTTTTCGAGGATTTTACTCCACCTTCTCCTACTGCTACTACAACCCCTATCATGATAGCTCATTGTCTGAATGTTTCCGTAGCAGTTTCACAATCCCAGGTGTCTGTTGCATAATTAGTTCCTTCTTTCACAGACTCAATAGAAACTACAACAACAACGACTAGTACACCATCAGTCACTACCAACGTATATGATATGGGGGCAGGGGCTTCTAGTTTTTCTATTGGTTCTGAGTTCACTCCCAACTCACCTCTTTGCCATGATGATCCTAATACAATGTTTGGTGATGATCGTGATGCTCTTGACGACTTTCACTACAGTCCATTTCGATGTTCAACAATCCAGTGATGATGATGATGATGCCCCTATGACCAAATGTCAGTTCAATCTTCTTCAAGAAAACCTAGATACTTTGATTTAGTCATCCAAGTCCTCCTCTAGCTCAAAATACTCTCTTGAGTCTCATAAGGCTTTGCTTGAGAGTTTAACGAAAGGGCATGTTGCGAACCTCGCAAAAACAAACAAAGCTATTGAGGATTCATAGAATACATGCAAGGATACAACCGGAAAAGTCGAAAAACTACTCTCTGTTGTTCAAACTTTCATGGGTGATTTCAAAACATCTTTTGAATCATACACAACCACAACAAATAAAATGATCACTATCCTTGGTTCTACACTCCAAATAAAAAAAAGCAGCTCTTACGAAGGTTCGTACTGAAATCTAGGCTGGCATTACAGAGTTTCAAACATCCATCTCCTCTAAAATCGAAAAGCCTCAGGAAGATCTGGCCATTGAGAACAAGATCATGGATGAAATTACTGTCAAAATATAAAATATGAAGGTTCTTTCTGTGAAGTTATCTTATGCGAATAAGTAAATTGATGAACTCAAATTTGAGAAAGTTGTAATCAAGAGATGTGTTGATGATGTCAATGCTCACTTGCATAATCTCATCGAGACTCGTGATTCACTTCTCACAGTCTCTGTTCATCAGCATCTTGCTGAGAAATTAAAGCCCATATTCTCCATTCTTGATGGTGTTTCTTAATCCTTTACAATTTCAAAACAAGGATAAGAGCTGGGAAAAACTTCTGGTAGTGGCAAAGAAACTGATGATGGTGATGATCACGAACAAAAACCCAAGTCTAATGATCTGAAGGATAATGTAGCTTCGACATCAAGAGGAAAAGATAAAATGGTTGATGATGATGATGATGACGAAGAAGAAGAAGAAGAAGAAGAAGAAGAAGAAGAAGAAGAAGAAGAAGAAGAAGAGGAAGAAGAAGATGTTGATGAAAATGAGAAGTTAAAGCATAAAGCTCGTGATGCTGAAATTGATGCAAATGAAAATGAAAAGTTGCTAGGGAGACTGAACAACGAGAGAAGTTAGTTCGTGAAGTAGAGGAAACTTTGAAGTCTCAGAAAACTATTTTCCCTTTATGGTCATTGGAACACATCTTGAATGAACCCATTGATAACCTCAACATTTATTGGCTAGAACCTGTTGGATCGTTTGAATAGGAGAACTCTCCTATTTTGCAGCTTGATATGCCAATTACTCCAAAGGCCTTTCAGTTTCGTTGTTTTGACAAAATTGTGAATGGTCCTCTCTCGAACAATGTGCTGATCACATGTTATTCTCGTTCTATCTCAAGCACATGAAGCCACAATAATAAAAATAAAGCTCAAAGAAGATTATTGTTGTCACGGTTTTTGGGACCAATTGAAATTGAGAGCTTCATCAATGCTCGTTTCAAGGTTGCTCGTGGGGCTACAAGTTCGATGTTTGAATTTACTCTCGTTGATTTGGCCTGCCTTAACCCATTCGACTGGATATCTCTATTGCATCTATTTTTGAAGGATGAACAGAAATTTGAACCAGTTCTAGCACATATTAAAAGAATACTGGTCTCGTATATCCAGGAAGTTAGCAAGATGGACGTGGAAATTACGCCTATCCTTCGCAAGAAACCTACAGTGCTTCCTAAGTACCCTCTGAAATATCTTGACAAGATGAAACTGGGAAGAATACGAAAGGATGATTGGAGTGTAGCATTTCAAATATGAGAAAGAGCTGATGCGAATTTTCATAGAGTTTGCTTCTTTCTGCCTGAAAAGCATCTATACTCCACCCTATGCCTTGAATACATTTTGGAGTTTATAAGTCACTGCAAAATGAACAATGCTGGGGACAAGAAATGTTTCTCTGATATGATCATCTGGTACATCTTGGTTCACAAAACTTTGTTGTGAATGACGCCGAAACTTTTCAAAGTTCAAAAGCGCCAACAGAACTGAAGAATCTGCCTTCCTTATTTGACACAAAGGGGAAATTTTTGGGTTATTTAATAGATTGTGTAAAATTTAGTTATGTATCTAGTTAGCCTTTTTACGGATTGGGCCTGTCCATCCATCTTGAAGTTGCTAGGTTTAGGCTTTAAATACTACATGCATGTATTGTATTAGGGTTAATCATTTTGGTGATTCCCTAGCGTGCCTTTACAGTAGAAGTTCTTCATCGAGCTCTTCTAAAGCATTTATTATTAATCATTGATCATTGCATTCATTGTTTGATTTACTTTTCTGTTAAGAATCTTTTGATCAACTCATGATTTATTCTAACATATATATATATATATATATATATATATATATATATATATATATATATATATATATATAGACAAAGAGAGAGACAGACAGAGAGAGAGAGAGAGAGAGAGAGAGACAAGTATTTTATAAATGTGTAACTTCATATCAATTAATCATTTTAAAACCAATATAAGGGCATATTAGTTGTAAGTCCCAAAACAATAGGTCTTACACAATATCAATCAAACTATTTAGTGAATGTGGAATGTAAACCAAATAGTGATTCAGGAACATGAAGTAACTTCCAATGCACACGATTCTATTGACAATAAATCATCTAGTACATGTGAATACTAGAAGCAGCTGTGAACCAAAACAATGATAAAAACTACCTCCTATACCGCTAAAAACACTAATATATAAACCAAGTACAAGACCACAAAAGACCCAACCCATTATGACCGTAAACACTAGGTGATTACGATCAAACTAACTATGAACATACACAAGTCCATTAACACAGTAAAATCTAAGCCCAAGAACAAACACATTATAAGCGCAGCATAAACCACAAGAATATGACTGAACAATCGCCCCCTTGGTTTATTGTTGGTTGCTATTACAGCTTATCTACAAGATGAACATCAAACTGATCGAACGCCCCAACCCACAACTTTCTTTGAACTATGGTGGAAACCATTCCAGTGAAAGCTTTGCGAATAGCTTCAAACAATTCATTTTCTATAATAAGTTGAAAATGTGACAAAGTATGAATATCATGTTATCCAAACCTCAACAAATCCTTGGGATCGACAATGCGGTACTGGCTTTTTTTCAATTGTATCACTTTCGGTGCAATAGACTCATCATAAACCCAGAATTGCATTGAGACTAAGGTGCCTTCTGGTAAACATTTGTGAAGCATAATCCTTTTAGCTTGCTTCGTGGGAGGCAACATAACATTCACCATGGTTTTACTAGTGTGAGGATCAATGACATCCTTAGCCTTCTTCGTAAACGATAAAGCAGTCTTTATGCCTTCAAATTTGTTTTTAACTTGATTATCACACCCTGAAACCGAAGGCGGAAACATTCCGGGGTGGACTCCACGTTGAGTATCAAATCCAATGTACATAGTAAGCAAAGTAAACAACCATTACATTACATATTAGAATTTACATTTGTTCAAAAGTAAAGTATTACAAGTGTTATACATAGGTATATATAAACAAAAGTTAAGATGAGTTCTTCTGTTCACTCCATCTTCTCCAAAAGGATAGTTGGGTACCTATCTAACGCGGATCTGAGAATACAAGCAGTTTGAAAATCAGCATAAAGCTGGTGAGTTCATAAGATGTTTGTTTATCTGAAAATGTTTAAGTTTTCCTTTCGTTTTCTGAAAATGTTACGAATCCAAGAAAATCCCATATTTTCTTATATGTAAAGCTTAGTTAACTGATTTGTTACACAGTTCTGGTTATGTACAGTTGTTATCCCAGGAAAATGCTATATTTTCCTAAAAGTAAATTTTAGTTAAGAATTACATTGTATAGTTTTGTGCATAGAGTTATTTACTGAAAATCATGGGATTATTATCCCGCACTAGATATACGATAGCCTTAATACATGAAAATTAAAGATAGATATAGATTGAAAGCCATGGGACTATCATCTCGAACTAGATATAAGAAAATTTGTTATACGCAAAACTATAGATAGATATAGATTGAAAATCATGGGATTATCATCCCGTACTAGATATAGATTGAAAACCATGAGATTATCATCCCATACTAGATATAGATTCAAAACCATGGGATTATTATCTCGTACTAGATATAAGATACAAAACCATGGGACTACCATCCCGTACTAGATATAAGATACTATAGATAGAAAGTAGATATGAAATTCAATCCGTGAATAAACTTATATTAATACGTATTGTCAGTCGGGTAACCATGCTGATACAACAAAGAGACCTCCTTGACGTTTGTCAGACGTCGAAACAATATCCAAGAATTTGTCACCCCAGGCGTGCCCGCCTAACTGTAGCTAGCAGTTAAGGTGTGAGATTGTCAGTCCCGGATAGATCTATCCACAAATTCCGGGGAGGATTTACTAATAATGATGACGAACCTCACAAGCTAGTATTATACTATTCACGGTGTTCTTGAACATTATCAAACATACTAATCGTTTAGAAACATAATACAATACAAACAGTTTAATACAATGAGATGATCTGGAAATATAATCTAAATTAAACAGAGATAAACTGAATTAGACATAGTTTATCTATTAACTTTATGTAAGTCTATATTCGTAAAACATGAACTAAAGATCCCAAATTATTCCCATAATAATTTAATTGGTTTGATTGTTTCCTTTACTAAAATTCACGTAATTATAGTTGAGAACTCATTCCTTATGCTCAATAAAATACATAAGGGGTAAAGATATTTAAAGGTTAGCCAGATGTTTATAGAATTACATCAGTATTAGGTTTTTGAAAACATTTATAGTTTTGCTTGTATTCCCCCCTGAAAACGTTGAAAAACACGGAAAAAGGGTAAGGGTATGAACTCACCAATCGCGGAATGTGTCGGTTTGGATGCTAAACGTCAGTTCAAGGCTTGAAAACGCACGTGGTTCGTATGATATGTGAAATGATACACATTTGTATCTAATTAGATTTTAATTCACTAATTAGATATGATTAATTACTCTAGGATGCGAAAACACCTCAAATCAAGCGTTTCGAGCGACCCGAGTCACTTCTAAGGACGTATATGGCTTGGATATTGTGTTTAGTCTTCAAGAGTAAACTCCTTACGGAGTTTGCAGCCCTAAGACTATGTCTACATGAGTTCACGGCCGTGAACTCATGGTTGGTGGGTTTTGAGGTGCTAAATGGTCAAATGTCACTTGGGGAAATTAGCTAAGATCAAATCTAAGGCATAGGAATGGATTTAACCAACATATGGACCACTTAATGGAGTTTACGGTAGTAAACTAGGATTTTACGGCCATAAACTCTCCCCAGACACAATCCTTATATGTTTTGGTTGCTAGGACAATCACATGTGATTTAGACAATTTTTACAAGCCTTAGGATGAATTTTGGGCACCATTTGACTAGCTTATGTGAGTTTACGGCCCTGGAACCTATCCTTGGGGGGTCATGGCCGTAAACACTCAAATGGAGGGTTTTTAGTATGTTTAAGGTCCTCAAATCGATTGTGGTTGGTTCTAGGATATATTCCAAGGCTAATGATGTGTTCAAATGGCTTTTAAACACTTGTTTTTGAGTTTACTCTTCAAGAATGATGAGTTTATGGCCCAAGTATGTTCTTGGGTAGTAAACTCATGTTTACTCCTCAAAAATCATGTTTAGGGTGTTCTAAGTCCGAATTGGTAAGCCATAAAGTCATATCTATGTCCTAAAGTTGGTTTGGAGGGGTTTTAAGGCTCAAAAACCCACTTTTTATGTGTTTACAACCCAAGCATGCTCCAGGGTCGTAAACTCATGAATGAGGTCCTTTTTCATAGATTAAACTCGGATTTGAAGGCTAATGAGGTTGAACAACAAGTTAGGGAAGTTACCTTGAAGATTTGAAGCCTAAATTTGATGTTTTTGGACTTAGATCTTTGGTTTGAGTAGAGAGGTTAGAGAGAGAGTAGTGAGAGAGGGAAAAAGCTTCAAATTGAAGCTTAATCTCCTATAAATAGGTCCTAAGTTTGGGACACGGTGAAATTCTACCCGATACCAACGTCAAATGGGGCTTTTGGTCGCACCCAATTAAGATGTCGTAACCTGATATGGTTTATGACAACCCGAAATTTCCATTCTGTACAAACTATATCACTTCAATAGAAGTTGTAGCAGTCACAGTTAATTTTCAGACTCTTCGCGTAAGTTTGAGAAATTCAGGGTTTACACTTCAGGAAATATCAGGAGAGTGGGTGCACTAGGGTTTTGTGCAACACTGTTATTCCAACACTCTATTTTATTAGGGATCATTTCAGGAATAAAAATATTTTCTGCCAAAATATCTCAGGACTATAAATAGATTTCTGAACCAAATTCATTCATTATTCACATTTCCGACTAGAGAAAAGCTATTTTCTCTCTGACGGATCTTCGGGTTTTTATACCAAAATGTGAGTAACTCTTTATAGTAATTTTAGAAAGCTTTATATGTGTCTATAACATGATTTAGAAGGCTAAAACATGAGATCTAGGAGTTTACACCCCAAGGTGTTCTTGGGCGGTAAACTCCCGAAACGAAGCCAAAACCGACACTTGTGTTATGATAAGGCCTTAGATGCTTATGTATACATGCTAGGGACACGAAAACAAGCCAAAATCCACCCAAGTTTGGGAGTTTACGTCCCTAAATAATCCTAGGCCGTAAACTCCAAAAATCAAACACTAAAATGATGATTTAAGAACTCTAGGACATTAAGGCTTGTATCTAGACTATGTTCCCAAGTAGTATAAGGCCTTAAACACATCAAAAGACACAAACAAAAGTGAGTTTACGGCCCAAGTGAAACTTAGGCCGTAAACTCCATTGAAATGGACAAAAGGGGAGTTTTCATGACACCTAAAGCCCTATACCTTTACAAGAAATTGTACCTACTTAATGGAAGGACCAAACCACAACAAAATCACTTAACAAAGTGAGCTTACGGCCAAGACATGGTTCTTGGGCAGTAAACTCCTAAAAAGGGCACCAAAGTGTGCCTAATGCCTTCTTATGCTAGGAGTAAAAGTCTAGAACATATACCACAAGTGCAAGAGGCTTGAAAACAACAAAAACAACACCCCAAGGGAGTTTACGGCCGTAAACTCCAAGGGGAATGGCCATGAGGCCGTAAACTCCTAATTGGAGTATTTCTAGACCTTAAACCCTTCCAAGGACTTATCTACCAAATTCTAGAAAGCATTTGAGACTTCAAAACACACCAAACAAACATGTTTGGGAGTTTACGGCCGTAAACTCAAGAGTTTACAACCGTAAACTCCATGTGTGATGTTCTATGGGGAGTAAACTCACATACAGGGTCCTTTGGAACCCTAAACACAAGTACCTTGTCCCACATTAGCTTAGATGCAATCATTACGGCCTATAACACTTATATAAAGTGTTTATTATGCCTAGGATGTCTTAACTTTATCAATTAGTGATTTAAGACTAATTGAATGCATATATGTGTGATTATATGTTCATTAGGATCGTAGTGTGTGTACAAGTCATCGCTTGACACCTAGCCATCATATACCGTTCAGTTCATTCCAATCACCAACTACAGGTGAGTTCATACCCCTAATCAATGTTTTAAATGATTTTAAATGCTTTAAAGGGGGGGGGGGGGTGGGGGAATACAAGTAGAAACAAACATGTTATTAAATCATTGTTATGTATTTTATAACTGTGTTTGTCATTTAACATGTTTCACATACTACAAAATGTGATGCATGAAATGGTATTAAATCTTAAAAACGCATTGTTATCAATTGTTTTACCTTTGAAATGTATATTAAGAATGACATCAAGTCGTTGTTAATTATTGTTCAAAACCCATAAGATGTCTTATAAAACCATTTTACATTATTGAGCTAAACTATGCATGTACACTTATATTCTTATATATATTGATGTTATAGTTTACAGTTTTCATTTAGTTTCTCACACCCTTGAGCAGTAAGAGTGTATAAACCTAGTTGAACAACCAATTACCTTCCAGTAAATTATCATTGGGATAATTTGGAGATATCAAACATAATTCCTATTACAAGGAATCACACAAGAGTCAGTTCATTGATGAGTCTATACCAGTACATTACCTGATACATGAGTACCTTTACATTTGATTACATGATACATGAGTACGTATACATATACTTACATGATACATGAACACGCTTACATGAATGCATTACATGAGTACCTTTACGTAGATACACTTAATTTTGTACGTTAACATGAATACTTGTATTTCGAATTGCGAGGATGATTTATTAGTACCTACTGTTTAAATCTTCCTGCATATCCCTAGTACCTCGGGATATGTAGACAAGACCCT